CAGGACTGAACTCGGCGCCCCTGAGCAAGAGCTGTTTAGCGCTTTCGAGGAGAGGTACCCTTATAAGACCCCATCGAGCTACAACATATCGACCCAAACTCCCATCGCGCCCATCCGCCCCCAAATGTCCGACCGATCCTGGTGCTCGTATCGCTTCATTTGCGAAGTACAGTATGAAGCGAAGGGATTGATATGAAGCGGCTGCGGTGCTGCATGGATATATGAGTACATACATGCAGCCGTATCTACCGTAGCGGTTACTGGCACGATGCCAACGGGAAACTCGTCCGAAATTGCTTTCTGAGTCGTGTAGAACAAAGGCTTTTTTGCAGGTTTTTGACCGTTTCACTTCGCTTTTTCGCCATTTCCCACTATTTAGCACCCCTGCTACCATTTCAGACAGACTACCAAATTATCGTGCCAAATGCCATTAATCGTAGCGAGCTCAAATTAATATGAAATCGCTCACTTGTCGGGTATGTGATGAATGGTCTGTTGGCCATCGGTGCATTCACCTCGAATCATTTCGTAGTCGCCAGGTCCACAAATAGGACATGCCTGATTGGAATTATGAGATTCGGAATGATTTCCTATCACATGAAGGGAAGGAAGTTAAAACGAAGACTAACCTGAACCGATTCAACAATAGCGTGGAAGAGACAACCATCGCAGGTTCCATCAGGACAAGTATGTGGCAACCGTATCTGAAACGGCCCCAGCTTCACCTTCACAATTACCAAATAATTACGATTTACATACCTCGGGTTCCTTTTTGCTCGGAGCGCATCTGGCCGTAACTACCAGGGCGTTGCCTCTGGGACATGCCTCTGACGCCGCTCCTACCGAATCGAACCACATATGGATGTCGATAGGACGAGATTTTTCTTCCATTCCCTCTGAAACAGTGATCATGATGTTCCAAAGCACTTTTGCATTCATGCTACTGGCTGAGCCTAATGCTGAATTCTGCTCTCCTCTACTAAGATGGCAAAGAGAGGAGGGGCGCCATTGAGGAAGGCGCAGTAGTGGGCCTGTTGCGCCCATACGATGAGTGTGTAGTGTGCCGTTTATAAAGTTCTAAATCGTGGTTTGATTAACCTACCGTATTCAAGAAGATGGTCTGTCAGGTTCCAGCCGTCCCTATATCTGTTCACACCAATCTCTTCCAATCGAGTAGCCAGGCTGTAACACGGTATTTTCACAGCGCTATCAGTAAACATAGGATTTAGAGGAGTAACAGGTGCCCATTTGAAATGAAGCCTGATAATTATGCTACAGCGAGTATGGCAACGCGAACCAGATACTTAGCAGATCTCTCGAAAATCCATGGCGTTGGCTTCTGATCACTTCATTCACTAGTGAGCTGCAGTACGACACCTGTTACTGTAAGACCTCCTCAAGCCATGATTGATCCACAAACCGCGATTATAAGGGTGGGCTGGGAGATCCCACTTGCGACGCAGCAACGTTGCCCCTTAAGTCACGTGTGTGACATCGCACTAGGACCTAACTGGTTTAGCATGGAAATGCTACAATATCTCGAGCCAAGTAGTTGGGAGATAGTAGCTGGTTTATGAGTGTCTCCACAACCCGTATCTCCTGACCAATGATGTATCGGTGATTATTTTACACGATCAAAAGAGTGCTTGCTGTCCTTGAGGAGAATTTTTTGCAAAATGCGATCCCTCGATTGGGGTGGAGCCTCCCAATGATGTGGAGCGCCCACAAAACGCGGAAAAATTGGCTATAAAAAATGTTGTCAGGTCAAAGACAACCCCGCTTCCTCCAGTGACCAAATACATCTCCCGGCGGGGATTTCCAGGCCTACGACTGTCGCTTTCCTATTAGAGCAAGAACTTCTGTGGAGTGCGATATTGGTAGACCTCGTCCCTTACTTGAAAATTCTGTTCAGCTTCGTATAACTAAGTGTCGGAGGATCTCCATTTAACAAAAAAACGAAGCCTCTACTTTTCAACTCACAGTAGTGGAGAGACGAATGCCAGTTTGGTCCTGTTTGTGCCAATGTCCGGAAGAACGGTCAGCCGACATGCAGCACCAGTAACGACATCACGACCCTGAAAAAAATTTTCCTGTACAAACATCCTTTTGATGCTTTCTTTTATGCGACTCCTTGTTGACGGTCCTGATATCAATGAGTGGAGGAAAATTATTTGCTTTAGGTCAGCTGCCTAAGGGCATGTGGGAAGAGGAAGCAAAGTTCTTGTTGAGATTCTGTTCAAACTTTACTCCACGATGGGTGAACTTTAATGGGGGTTAGTTGACTATTTCACAAAGTTTCTGAAAGTTCTCAAGGAAACGCGGCGTAGCTCGGCGACGGGTGTTTGTAGGGGGGGGGGGGCAGCTTGCACTTTGCTACTACCAGAGAGCTATTTCATGAGCTCACAAGGGTTGACAGGTTTTATCATGGTAGCTCGACGAGCCTACTCTAGCTTAACAAGAGTTCACAGGCTTTACCAGAGTGAAACCTGAACCGGAACTAGTGCAGCAGTGAAAGTGCAAAATGCCCCCCCTCTCGTCGCCGAACAGCGCCCAAAAAGGCTGTATCGGCGTGGGAAGGACCACA